GTAGAACCAACCACAACAATACAAGTGACACCATAGTTTTTACAAAATTGTTGAGAGTTTCTTCCTTGAGAAACGGTTCTCAATTTCTCTCTTCTTTTTTATTTTATTTTTTAATACTTAGATATTCTACTAGAACCTACGGTTGGAGATGGCCTAAAATCCCGTAAATACATTTGCTTAAATAATACTTCATTTGACTCAATATACTTCATTTGATTAATCAAAAAAGGAAAAGATTTTAGTGTCTTCATAATAATTTTGTACATTAAACCATGGATTACAAATTCACCATTCTAAAAATCTTTTGAAAACAAAACTTCCGAGAATAAGTAAATTAAAAAATCCATACAAAACTAGTTTTGATATGTTTATTTTTCAAATGTACCTACATTCACCTTTCTGTATAGAAATAAATTTTACAAGAAAAAACCTTTTTAATATTAAAATAGTTAAAAAGGTTAACTTGTTAGATAACCATTTGTAATTAACAACATATATATCTCAAATGTTTTTGTTTTGTTTGATAAAAGGTCTATAAGACTAACATTTCAACATATCTCAATTGTTGGTTTAGACAATAGCTATCTGACTTTTTATGAAAAAATGTCACTGGAGAACTATCCAATAGCGTCTGTTTTGATGTCATGGCGATCCAGAAACAAAAATTTGTTGAAATTATAAAAAAAAATTAAGAAAACCTTAACAATTTTTTAGACATTATATTTCAGGTGTGTACCCCACGAATGTTTCTAATAACAGAACAAATGTTTTTTTTTTCATATGGCTTACATGGCCCACATACTAACCCAAAAGGGAACGGTCGAAACCCTAATGCCACTACAAGGCAAAAGTGACTATGGCGGGCAAATTTTCCGTTAAATTCGATCCGATTCGGTATTAAAGCAAAACAAATAATAGAATTTAGTATCCGTCTAAACCGAAGCAAATTACAAATACTAACTTAAAAAATTCGAATATCCGATCCGATCCGTATATTACTTATACATACATATAAAAAGATAGATTTATAACGTATATTTACATTTTTTACTTTTAAATATATTTGGCGAATATATTTATAGTAAAAATAGATAGATACTAATTTTATTTGAAATATTTTTCTTAAATAAAAAATAT